CAGCCACTGAGCCCAGACAAACTCCAGGTCTCCCAGGGGCCCTGGCTCACCCAGCTGCAGGATGTGAACCCAGGCTGCCTCTCCCAGTGCGAGGGGCATGTGCCACCACGTCCACCGGGCAGGTGTTGGCAGTTACTACAACCATTGCAACAGTCGTGTTGCAAAGAGCAACACCACACGACCTGCCTGTTGATCCCAAAACCAGGGCTCCCCCAATGGCCTCAGGGCTCCCTCTTGGTAACCCAGAGCCCAGCCCAGTTGCAAAGGAGGTGATGGCTGCTGGGCGCCCAGTGCTTGGCTGGGGGCGGAGGGACACCTGCCCACCCATCCCAGCACCACACAGGACCTGGTGCTGCAGGAGGGGCACATCCTGGACCGCCATGAGCCCAGGCAGGCTGCTGGCATCCCCACCCACCTGCGTCACGCACCAGGCAGCCAGGGAGCAGCCAGTGCAGGTAAACATTAACCCAGGGAAGTAGCGAGGGCTCCCTGGCAGCACAGCTCCCAGCACCCCAGCAGCACCCGCATGTCCGTGATGAGGGGGCACCGTGCCCGCTACCACCTCCTGGTAGGTCTAGTGTGGTGGGGGTCTGGCGTGGCAGCATGGGCGTTGGGAATGAGCTCCAGGGCAGTGCCGGGAGGCAGCGGGCGGGCTGGACACATGGCTGGCTAGAGAGACAGGGGCTGTCCTGGGGCGAGCGAGGGGCTAGGGAGGTGCAGAGGGTGATGGGCACGCTCGGAACCTGACCCTTTAGCCCCACTCCCCCCTGAGGATCAAAGCACCATGAGGGGGGCAGGAGAGCTCCTGCTGCCTGGGGCTGCGCTCGCTCATCCCTCTTGTCCCCTTGGGGTGTTTTCTGCCTGTGCCCTATCGATGGCAGGGAACCCCTCAGGCAGGGGCTGCACCCACAGCCACCCTGAGTTTTTTCTGAGAGTTGTCACCAGCTGCCACAGGGACCAAGGCACATCCCCGACCCCACGCACACTGTAGAGGCAGCCTGGCCATGGGCAAGGAGGGGAGTGGCTGGGGCTGAGGTTTGGCTGAAGTTGTAGAAGCCTCCCCTGCCTCCTCTCACTTTTCCTCTTCAGGCAGCCCCACACCCGTGAACTTTCGGGTGCTGAGGTGTCATGGCCTGCCAGGGTGCCAGTGCGTGGCACAGTGTGGCATGGCACAGCAGGGCTGTCGGGAGCCGGGCTGGAGGCTCAGCCAAGTGCCCATCCCCATGGCCTTTGGGCCGCTTCACCCAGCCCCTGGACACAAGGCAGGCAATGCCCCATGCAGGGCAGGTTTCATAGACTCATAGAATGCATTGGGCTGGAAGGGACCCCCAAAAGCCATCTAGGCCACCCCCCACCTCCACCACAATGAGCAGGGACATCTTTAGCCGGATCAGGTTGCCCAGAGCCCCGTCAAGCCTGACCTTGAATGTCTCCAGGGATGGGGCAAATGTTCCAGTGCTTTACCACCCTGATGGTAAAGAACTTCTTCCTAATATCCAGTCTAAATCTGCCCGTTTCTAGTTTAAAACCCCCCCCCCCCCCCCACCCCTCCTATTGCTATGTGCCCTTGTAAACAGTCCCTCCCCAGCTTTCCTGCAGGCCTGCTTCCTTGGGGCCTACAGGGATGCTCACCTCCCCCCCCTGCCCCCAGCCCGACCAGGATGAGGACGTGCCAGTGGGATGCAGGGAGCCGGCCGGAGAGGGGCAGCCCGGCCCGCAGCAGCAGGCCCAGCCCTGGAGGAGCCATGCAGGCTGGTGCTGAGCACACCGAGCAGCATCCTGCGGGACAGGGAGATCCAGGAGGTGAGACACCTTCCCACCAGTACTGGCACCCCCCCGCCCTCAGCTCCCCCTGCCCCACAGCCCATGCCCTCTGTCCTGCCAGGAACTGGTCCAATGCAAGGCCAGACAGGTGACATCCCCTGTCCCTGGGAACAGCCACCCCAGCAGCATCTCTTGGGGGTGCTGGTGGGAGGATGCTCGGGGAGACGTCTCAGAACGGTTCTCAGAGGGAAGTTGCTTGGGGAAGCATCCTGGGAGGCTGCTGGGTGGGCCAGGAGCTTGAGGAAACCCCTTGGGAGCTGTGCTTAGGCAGAGGCTGCTTGGGGAGACCTCTTGGGAGGCTGCTCAGGTGGGAAGTGGTCTCTTGAGAGGATGCTTGGAGGGGGAGGATGCTTGGGAAGATTTCTTGGGGAGGATGCTTGGCAGGCAGCGGGGAGCGTGCTTGGGAAGGTGTCTTGGGAGGCTGCTCGGGGCAGGGGGAGGAAGCTCAGAAGCAGCCTGCCAGCCCCGGCTGAGCCCGCCCTGCCCCAGCTGGGGCTCCACCTTCGCTCCAG